TATATATACATATATATATAAACACACTTTTGAATGAGTGTAACTATGTATGTAACTATGTAACTTTTGAGTTATCAATTCCCTCTTGACAATCTTGCTGCATGAGGGAATTTACAGACTTATTACAGTTCAATTTTCAATTTCAGGAAACCCATAGTGACCAATCAAATTTCGCTTTCCATACATCACAGGCATTCTGACTGGTTATTAGATCACTGCACTTGCACACATTTTTTAAAATTCCTGAAATTGCTTAAAATTGATAGCCTACCAGCCTATTGCAGTTAAAGCTGAACCTTAGGTTAAATTTATATTTTCTAATTACAAGAGACATGCACATCCTTATTTTGATATTGGTCTACTTTGTGTATTTCTTCTAGACCTGTGCAGTAGTCTAGTGTGAAACTGAGTAGCTTCCTGTAATGCAGACCAGTCACTGCTGCTCTCTGTCCTTGTGCAGAGTGAATGGTCTTATATCCGCCCCTCCTGTAGTTTTCTGCAGGCAGCCTGTAGTGGGTGGGGTCTGCTGAGTCCCTCCCACAACTCTATTCTCTGCACAGGTTATGTACAGCACTGTGATGATCACAGCTACCTATACAATGTAATAATTGTGTTTGCAAAGGCATTTGGTGCACGCAAAGTGGATTTATAACCTTTGTAATTATTGGAGAATATATTAAAATGAAATTGTTTGTTGCTTAAGTTCAGCTTTTAGTTCTCAAAATGAGTAAAACAAGGATTTTTTTAAATTAAAGTTTTTGTAAAACCTGAAACACGACAGTTATAATTTGAAGGAAAACACGTCACAGGTTTTAGGCGCAAGCAAAATACTCACAACCTCTATATTTTCTTGTCCAGCTTTTACTTGTAGAACTTAACTTTTCCTTTTTTTCCCCCTTTGGAATAAGCCCATAAAGTCATTTCTTTAAACAAGGGTAAACTAATTCTGTTTCCATTTGAAACCATTTCCTCCAGGGATTCTTTCACAGATTAGAGCCTTACACAAGGCATTCCTACTTGCTGACAGACAAATTCCATAACCCAGCAAGGCCATTGGAAAAAGAACGGAAAAAAAACCATTCAGGAAAGGCCCACATTGCATTTTACCTTTTAATGTATTCCGAACACATACATGCTTATCTAGAGGTCTACAAGCTCATTTAGAACATATATTTTTTAGAGAAAGAGTTGTCAGTGTCAATAGGTTGCTAATTAATTGCCAACATCTAATTCAAAGTGGCCACTAGACAAAAAAATGTAAATTCACTTGCAAGCTGTCTTATTTTTCTTTAATAACCAGGGATAGTCAAGCGTAGCTACCTGCTTCCTGTGAAAATAACATAATCAGCTAGCTGTTGTCCACAAAGATATTGTAACAACTTAATTCTACCAAAGAAAGTAGTCGAATTTCAATGTAAAATAGCAAATTAATCTAAAGTTTGTATAATAAAGTAACCAATTTAAAACATCTAATTTACTGGATATTCTTAATTGAAGAAAAATAAAAACATTGGTCTCAACTTAACTGCACACCTCACAGATAATTTTGCCATGATCTTCTAGGAACAGTGATAGAATTTTAAAAAATTAGTGGTTTATCTGATCTTGCGCATGGACAGTTTTAGAATTGCCAGAATCCACAATTTGAATACCATTCTGTAATTTTGTCTCCTTGGGGAAAGCAGCCTTAGTCCTTAATTAACTCCATTAACGCAAATGGGGACAGATGATTAAAGTGACACTAAACTCAGAAGTTAAATCTTAAAAATGCATTCAAGTTCAGAGATGATTTGAGGATCTACAGCCAAGAGATTCACAAATAAGCTACATTTTTGTTAATAGTTAGGTACATGAATGCATTTTTAAGATTTAACTCCTTAGTTTAGTGTCACCTTATGGATTTAGGAGACACAATTTACCTTTTCTTAATATACCTTTGTAAGATTACTTAGAGATTAATAATTTAAATGTAGCAAAACAACCTTCTATATGCTCACAAAATGAGCCAACACTACAGGACAATTCATCACAATATCTAAAAAACTCATGTTGATTAGGGGTAAAATAAAAAAACATTTAGCGCACATACAACATATCGCAAAAATATACAAATACTGTTTATAATTTCTGTAATTGTTGGTTTCCCAGTGGATTTTAGGGGACCTTTCCTCAGCATTCAAGTGTAACTGAGCAATGTGGGTAGCAGGAAAGTTGCCTATTCTGTTCCTTCTTTATGGTATATGCTTTCCTCCAAAGTTTTACTTATGTAACAAAGTTTTTAAAAATTTCTGTTGTTAATTGAACTTATCAAATATATCATTAACCATTCTTAGCTTCAACTACACAAGAACTTTGAGATGTGAGTCTTCACATAAACTGGTCCAAACACGGCTTAAACACCTAAACCAGACATTAGGTTTTTTAGGTTCCACACATCCATGGCTTTTTTTAACAGGAAAATGACAGGGAACCAATCACATGAAATAAATATTTTATCTTATATAGTATAGGAATTGTGTACTGGGCCCAAATCAAAACCAATAAAATGAACGTACTGTATGTCTCTAGTGGATGAAAAGTGATAACGCAAAATTCAACTGCCTGTCTTCAAAGAAAAGCATTTTCATTTTTTCCAGCTGGAGTGAAGAACACTCTTGGGCATATATCAAATAAAAAAAATACTTTGATTATTAGTAACTCTAAAGAGTTGACTCTCCATCAGAGTGACTATCAATGCATAAAAGACCAAGAAGGCAAAGATACATGAAAGACCAAAAGCCACACATAAAAAAAACTTGTTGGAGTGTTCACATTTCTACCACGGTTGACATAAATATGGTTATCGATTAAGCTGCACTTATGGGATTCATTGCAAATGCATGGTCAGTGTGTTAAACTGTAAATAATACAACTATTGCAGGCAACTGTCACACAATGCAGAGCAAGCCAGTCCATTTGCGGAGTTTAATAAACATTGATTGAGATATGCCAGTATCAGAATTTGCCATAGCCAAGTCCCTAAGTTGTTCTACAGGCTACATTACTCAACTTGAAGGCTGGCTGTGCCATTATTGCTATGTGACAGGTGCTCTACATTTGCACACTGAAAGCAGCAGTGTTATAACAAAAATATACATGCATATCACATTATTTCTAATATTTATACCATATATTCCCATTTAGAGGCATAACTGGCTATCATTGCTACATAGGGGACCAGAACATATAGACACCTGAATTGTGAAGGACATTTGACCATTTTATAATTTAACTGTCTTTTTTTGTTCCAGAATGCCAAATCTAATCTAATCAAATGAAATTAATAGTTGGCTTATTCTTATGTAAACTGTGTTACAGCAGCTCCAAAATCGACACGGTGTGACTTAAAGACATTTAAGACAGGGCCTCCTCATAGCTCACCCTTAAGCTAGGTATACTCACTGACAATGTTCCCTTGCCACCTTTCTAGTGCAGGAGTCCACCATTAGTAAGCTTCTATGTTGGATAGTGTTGGAGCTTATGTGGGTGAATAAAGTTCACGGGCCTTGGACCTGCTGATTGGCCATTAAGGACCACAGCACTGTCACATGGGAGAATTTGTAAGCTCCCTCAAACCCGGAACCCCCATCTGTTAGACAACGGAATGAGAGCTCCAACGGAGAAGAAAGCTTGGATGGGTGAATATACCTTGAAGGAGGGGTTGGTTATCAGTGGGTACAATGATTACATGAACGAGCAAAGCGGCAGTGTCTGTATAACAGATACTGTATATTAAGCCATCACTTTTTTGATATGAGATAATTATATCACGGACATATCTTTATTAAAGTGGATTTTCTGATATGGTAAAGTAAAACCTGTATAAGGCTTATATTAAATCATATTTTAAGCATATTAGTGACCCTTTAGGTAGTCTTCACAGAGTTTGAGAAGCAATTAAACTATATGTGAAATAATGGAACAGATGTGGTAGAGGGCAGGGAAGGTGTCCTATGCTTGACTGCTTTCCTTCCTGATGCCTATGCAGTGTACTGTACCAAAACACCACTGCTGCTTTCATGTATACAGGAGAAGTCACAGGACAGGTGTTTAATTGTAATGAGATTTAAAAAAATTAAAAGCCGTTCCAACCTGTCAATAATCACTGGATCGGAGGGAGTCTCATTTCTGTTCCCGCAGCTCTTCTTGTCACAGCAGCGGCTGTAGAGGGGGAAAACACAAGGATTTAGTATTACAGCCATGTTGCAATATAAGCCACATTGAGACAGCAGGTTGAAGTTGCTGCAACATTACCAGGATTGCAGCGATCTAGAACCAGTGTCAGAGAACAGGTTTGGGCCGCATGGGGGCTAATTACTGGCGCTAACCTCTTCCAGCACAGCTTCTAGCTTATTAAGCCTCCAAACGGCACAGGTAAATGAGCAACTTGTCCTCAAAAAACTCACAGCTTATACATTTTGCACATTTTTTACAGAGTTTTGATGACTTAGGGGACAAATGAAAATGACAAATTGGCTTCTGAAGAACAGTTCTTAAAGCAGGCCTATTTGCAAATAATGAACCTGTAATCCATTCTCATACAGAGTGAAGTAACACATCTGATGGAGTACAGGCACCTTAAACTGTCTTCACAGCATTGCCTCCCTCTTTGACCACTTGCGTACCAGCCTGTATGTGCCAATTCATTAACAGGCTAATTTTCTGTTTTCAATACTGTGATAGTTTAACTGACAAACACTCGGTCATGCAACACTAAAACCAAATACATTTTATATCATGTTTTGAGACAGATAGAGATTTCTTTTGGTGGTATTTATTAACCACTTTTTATTTTTGTATTATATAAAGGAAAAAAGACCAAATATGTTTTTTTTTTTAAAACCAGATTTTAATACATTTACTTTTAATTTCTTTACCTTTAAAAAACATCTTCATTGGTGGCTACTGGCACTTTAATACACCCCTACCTTCACCTCCTTTCTAATGTGTTTACAAACATTCAGCCCATTCACAACACAGAATGGGCAGCTTCCTCCATTGTGAATCAGTTGAATGTTTGTAAACACTACTAGTGCGATTACTGTGATTGGTTTACAGTGATCACAAGCTCCAGAAGTACTCTGATTGGTTCTGTACATCACAGCCACATACAAGAGCACTGGCTGCCCGAGTTTGTTTTCTGAAGCGTTGTTTACAAACAGCCCTCCAGAAATACATGTCCACCTCCCTGCCATTTACAATGGAGCAGTATGGAGGTGGTCAAAGTGACTGTTAATAATGCTTTGCAACTGTCAACTTAAGTACAATTTTGCACTATTTTTCCCTGTTTAGTCCTGTACCAACATATGAGTTTTTTTCAGATTTTGACCCCCTTTCTGGCCCGCCAAGTGCTCTATGCTGGCATAGAGGAGTAAGAGCCATAGCCCTTAACACAAATGTTCTCAGGAAGACTTCCTCTGCTAAGGAAGAGTGGGGGTACATCTGAGCAGGGGGTGTTTGAGGCAGTGGGTGAGGGGGGGTCTGAGCAGATCTATTAGATTAGGGAGACCCCTAGGCAGCAGTCTTTAGCATGGGACAATCCACAGATTTATCTCGTTCCTGGCGGGCTAAACAATAAAAATCGTATGTTGTATGGCCAGCTTTAAGTAGGATGTCTCTGATAAAAAGCAGACAATTTACCAGTGAATTTTCACCTAAAGCAAGCAATAAGATATCTGTATTGATTTCCTTTCATTTTTACTAACATGTTGGTTACATTCTGATTGGTCCAGGCCACAGTGTCATCATCCAGTATTAGGCTGCACACTGTAAACAAGTTGGCTGTACTTGCTGTGTCTAGGACACAGGTACATGTAACACAGACCCGTTATTGGACTGCACGCTGCAAATACGGATCCTGTTCTTGACTTGAGCCACCTCCTGCCAGCTGGGGCAATGCCATGCAGAGCCTGACAAAGCCACCTCTATGCCTGTCCTCAATGGCTGACACAATGCAGCCAATTTTTACACGTCTTCCCCATATGTGTTGCATAGAGTTTGAGGATGGCCATGTTTTTGTACAGGGTGCTCACCGGTGCCTGTGCGGGGAATACACTGAGAGCATTACGTTCTGTGTAAGCTGTTAAAACACAACCTGCTATTCAGAGTCAGTTGGCAAACATTCTCTATATTCCTGCACTGTGTTTGTAATTATCGCTAATTTACTTTGCAGCAGAATTCATTTTGCATTCTAGGATAAAGGTGACCCGCTGGTGCCATCCAGGAAATGTTCTGGCATTCCAAAGTAAGACAAGCAACACAAATTACCGGTGAGGATAGTTATAAGGGAGCTGCCAGTCCTGATGTGCTTTCAAAGGTGAAGTGAGAGCTTTAATTTCTCAGAACTTTTATCGCTAATCGGAAGACTTTTTCAAAATTTCTCCATTTTGGCAAAATGCAATGGAGTCAATGAGGAAGGTTTTTGGTGTTTTTTTAAGGGTGCAATGGGCTTTAAATGGCTCTTCAGGGTTACAAAAGCTCATATCAACTATCCTGGACCTTTTCTGGTACCAAAGAAAAATAACAGTTCAGCCCCATCTGGCAGGGTGGACCTGATTTTTCTTAAATAACACGTACAAGTCTTTCCCCTTCCCAAGCCTTTGCATGGATAGTAAAAGGAGAAGCAGCAGATTAATCAGCTCAACTCTGTCACTTTGCTCTCTCCTCCTTTCAGCATTTCACTTTCAGAACATGCGAACTGCAGCTCAACTGACTGGCTCCTTGTACTGCCCTTCCCAGCATGAGCTCTGCTGATACCAAACCAAATTAGAGTATTGTGACAGCTACTAAAAATATCTATGTGATCGGCCGCACAGGAACAAAAGGCACATCAATGCCTGCGGTCCGGTCAGAAAAAATGCTGCAATTTCTGACTGCACCGGACCGCAGGCTTTGATGTGCCTTGCGTTCCCATGCGGCCGATCGCATTCTGGCCGGAGGGCGTGGCTACGGTGCCATTGAGTTCAATGCACCGCCACGCCCCCTCACACCCCACAACAAAGTGAGCTGGCCGCAATACGATCCAGTGCGTTCCGGGCAGAATCGTGTCTGGTTTGAATGGGCCCTTATACTGCTTGCATTTAACAAAAATGCATTTGTCAATGTAATAATAAATACAGAGCTACATTAATATGTATCTTTAATATCTGCCTGGGGTTTAGCTTTAATAAACAATTAGATTTTTGCATGGGATCAATAGACAGGGAGTCAGCTGTGTAGTAGAAAATGCAAGTTCCTGAAATGTCCCCTTGTTTATCCATGAATGTGAGTAAAATCTAAAGGACTTATAAATGATGTCAATTAGATATGGGAAAAAGAGAATAAATGTCCCAGCCATCCAACCCCTAGATGCTCTTTACCTGGTAAAACTTCACTAGCCAAACGTCTCCTGCCTAGAAACCGCTCAGCATCTGAATTCAGTGCGCTAGTCACGGGATTGTTTTAATGCCCCATAAATTTACTCCTTTGTCACATAAATGCAAAGCTTTATTGCTCTGTTAGTCTTGACAGAAAGCCCCGGCAGAAAGTTGTTTAGGGATTAAATCTCTAAAACATGCTATTTCCAAACGGAGGGCTTTCACTATTTCATGTCTGGTTAAAGGGAATTTCGACTGAGGGGAAGCAAGCTGTCTTTCACACCATATGGCAAATGGCCGTGCATAGTAATTAGGTGAGCTGATGAATGGTGAGCAGGCTCTAATTTTATGCTTATAACCAAAGCTCCATTTGCACCTCTTATGCAAAATCAGCACTTCCAGCCTCCTATGGTATTGTGCTAACACGCTTCGTGTTCTCCAAATGTGGAGGGGTAAATTCCTCACCCAAAACTATATTTATACTGCCATACCTGGGAAGACTGAAGATTGAGGGATAAGCATGCCATATTACATGAAATATTTTCTGACCCAAAAAAATATAAAGGGGAAAAAAAAATGTGTGTATGAATTTTGATGTTTTTAGTAGCTGTTCTGTTCCTAAAAAAATCCAGTTGTAAATAGAAATTTTGTAAGAATCTAAATTTTTATTCTTGAGTTGTTATAATAGTACAGCCAGAGACGTCTTGGATGCTGTATTTGCTGTTATTCACTTGTATTCTCTTCCTGCCACAGAAGAAACACCAGTGTCAGGTGTTTGGCCCCCATAGAGGCTGACTTGACGTCCATTTCTTAAACTTAGGGCTTAAATTGACACTCTGCCCAGTGGCTGCTGGAGGAGGGTAAACTGCCAATGAATCAAGCCCTTCATTTTTTTCTATGTAATCCTGTCAGTACCTCTGTTTATGGCAGTTTTTTGTGAGTGTTTGTTATAGGTTCTGAGTTCAGGGAGAAGATATGATACCTTTACAGCTCTCCTCTTAACTTGACACTGGCAGGGAGAATATAGGTAAATAATAAAAATTTAAGTAAATCCTTGATCTACTAAACTACTTGAAAGTGGAGTTTTGGATTATGTCTCACTGGCATTAATACATGAAGAGAAATAAAAGAACCAAAATACATTTGATTGGAAGGACACTGCTTCAAGTTCTCAGTTCAGCTATTCATGTGACCAATGTCTAAGTCACATTTTTACTCTGCCAATTGGAAGGTGCAGTATTCAGGCAGATGCCCTCAATGACCAGCTTTGCCCAAACACCAGTCCCCAAGACACTTTGGAAGAGACTACGAAGCCGACAGCCTGCTTCTGACAGCCAGATTTGAGAGCAATTTCCCCTAATAATCAGGAACCAATTAGAGTGATTTCTGATCATGTGACCATTATGTCAGCTTAGACTTTCAGGGTTATTCACTAAAGGGGGAAAAGTTTGAAGAAGGCACGAGAAGTGAACAATCTAGGCCAAAATAGCCGATTTGGAAGAATTCTACAATTCAGCTCACTTTCCAGTTCAGCTATGTTGTCCTAGATTGTTCACTTCTCCTGACTTCTCCAAACTCTTCACCCTTTTGTGAATAACCCTAACAGTGATTACATGCAAGCTTAAGACTTCATTCAGGAAAAAAATAGCTTTTAGCTTGCAGAGACCAATGCAGCCTGTAGATGGCAGTGTGCCACTGTTTAATACTGTAGCTGTCTTATGCAATCATCGTACTAAAAAGTATAGTATCTTAAATGAAACTTTAAAAAAAAAATATATATATATATGTATATATA